TAAACAAGAATAAGGGAATTAAAATAAGGATAGAAAAAAATGTCACAAACTTACCAATAAGTTGATCCCCGCTCATTGAATCAATAAAACTTATGAAGACTCCTACTTCTTGAGGAACTTGAAGAAGTTGAAGCAACTAGAAAAATATTAATTCTTGAAGAAAACTGAAAGCTTTTAATTTTATTTTTCCTAAATAAATTATGTTTACAACCTATGGGTAAAGGTCATTATTATATAGACTTTTTTGAGGATATTCTTAAGTGATTACAAACACTTGAAAATTATTAAAATAATATTCTATTCCGATCTAGAATTCAAATTAAACATTTAATAAATCTATGGGATATAATTTACATTAAATTAAAGATAAAAAAATATTAAAAAATACTAAAAATTATCCCATGGGTTTTTTCACATAAATCACATGGGAAAATTAAAAAAAACATATGGAAAAAGTTGAGGTAAATTCCAAGAAGGACTCAAGGAAAAGGAAGGCCAGTCAAGTTTCAGGTCAGTTGCATGCGTAGGCCGACCTAGGTAGAGCACACGGGTTGTATGGAGTAGGCGCACTGGCTTAGCCTGCATGCTTAGAGTTGGGTTGGTGGGCGTGCACCTTGGCCGATTCCGTGTTGGGCTTTCACCTTGCTGGTTGGGCCTAGGTGTGCACAAGTTGTCCAACATGCGGGGCTTATGGGCCTTGAGCATGGACGTTGCTGCGCACATAGGCAGGCGATCGTGCATGTGCGCACACTGCCCGTGCACTTACACACATGCAGGGCATGTGGACTTGCTTGTTTACATCCTCGTTATGTCGTTGTCATGTGGGCAGTGTTCCCACGTGTGTGGTGGGCTTCCATGCATTTAGGATCGTCACACATGTGTCGAAGATAGGTCACGTGTGCTATATGTGTCTCCACTAATTTTTCATGCCTTGGACCTTTTCTCGGGCCTCACTAGTGACCTTGTTACTTACTTATTCCTGCACTAACAAGTTGAAATCATCTTGAAAATTTTGGGCTCAGCTTCACGTGATTGGTGCTATGGGTAATTGTGCTTGTTTTCCCATTGGTCTTAGTTTGTCGTGGGCACCTTTAATTTCCTCTAGGTAAGTCAGCATGCCTACTTCTTTTATTGGAGTATCTTTCATGATCGTGCTTCCATCATCTCCCCTTCTTTGAAAGGATTCATTCTTGAATCTTCACCTATATCAAAAGTAAAGAGATTAGATACACTAAAAGTGGCAAACACTTCATCCTTACCTAGCATATCGATCTTATAAGCATTGTTGTTGACACATTCTAGGACTTGAAATGTTCTATTTCCTCGAGGATCTAACTTAGATTTTTGTTGCTTGGGAAACCTTTCCTTTCTCAAATGAACCTATACCCAATCTCCTGGTTAGAAAACAACATGTTTCCTCCCTTTGTTAACATTATGGGCATAGGATTGATTTTTGCTTTTGTATGTGTTGTTGTGTCTTTTTATGTATGGATTTGATAAGTTTGGCTCGTTGTTGTCCATTTATAGTTTTTTGCTTCTTCCACCGGAATAGAAGTTAGATCTAATGGGGTTGAACTACCTTGAAGGGTGATACCCTAGTAGGAGTATGAATACTTTGATTGTAGGCGAAGTTGACCATGGGTAAACAGTCTTTCCAAGTCTTCAAATTATAGGCAACCACGACCCTTAGTAGGGATCCTGAGGTCTTATTTACCACTTCAGTTTACCCATCAATCTGGGAGTGACAAGCGGTAGAGAACAACAATTTTGTCTCTAATTTTCCCCACAACAGTCTCCAAAAGTGGCTAAGGAATTTGACATCCCTATCACTCACGATAGTCTTATCATGACCTCTCATTGTTCTAAGCAATCCTAGCACAAACTCCATAGAGATGTCTACCTATGGGGCTGTAGGTACAGATAATGCAGTATACAGGACATGAGGCAACAGTTGAGACTTGGCTTGCTGACAAGCAATACATTGGCCACAAATGTGCTCGACATACTTTTTCATGTTGGGCCAATAGAAGTGTTCTTATAATATGTCTAGGGTTTTGACTACCCCAAAATATCCCATGAGTCCCCCAAATATGTGCTTCCTCTACTAATAATTTCCTACTAAAACAACTTGGTACACATAGCTTGTTTTCCCTTAGTAGAAATCCATCGCTCCTGTGGTATTTATGGAATGCGTAATGCTCACAAGCTTCGCAAATAGAGGAAAAATATTTATCATTAGCGTACATCTCCTTTATATGTTCAAATCCTAAAAATTTAGAACTTATGGTGGAGATTTGAGCGTAGCTTTGAGATAACACATCGACGACAATATTATCTTTCCCTTACTTATACTTGATCACAAAGGGGAATGTTTCCATGAACTCCACCCACTTACCATGTCTACAATTGATGATGTGATACCTGCTGAAGACAAACCTAAACCAGAGAAGTGCAAGAAGCAAGCAAGTACTGATGAGCTTCTGGGAAATGAAAGAAAGCAATTGCAAGGTAACAATATTCCAAGATACTTTATTCCTAAACAAGTATTAGATAGTGAAGCCAAATCCACCAAACAAAGTTCCCAACCTAGGAAGAAATGACACCAAATGGTACCAGAAACCCGAAAGATAACGGGCCTTATAGTTAAGGAATAACTCAGGCTAAAATCTTAGCCCAAGAAGAAAGCCCAAATGTAGTATTGGTTTGGGTACTTGTAGGGTACACATTTATCGCAATGCACGTATAGGATATCAGGCCCACACATCCACCAGTGTTTCAAGGTCCTGTGGTGAAGCAGTTAAGGCAACTTTACACTCTGTACGAAAACAGAAGACAAAGAACTTTCTCGCTGCAGAGACATGGGGGTCAACGCGGGAGCAAGGAGGCCCACACATGTATGGATCATCCGGCCCAGCCCGCATGACCCATGAACACACACGCGTACCCCCGGGAGCACCCATGCATGCGACCCTCTAGGCCTGCGTGAAATCAACCGCATGAACGCATCCCATGACATTATCTCGCGATTCCTGCAAGCCTTTTCCTACATAGCCTATGCAGATCGATCGACCCAGCCCATCGAGGTGACCCAAACCCGACTGGCCCTTTCTCATTTTTTTAACTATTTAAATATTTATT